CTAGGTATATAATTCTAGCTTGGAAACTGTTTTCCCTATTAATTTTAAAGACATTTTTGCATTGCATTCTGGCTTTTAGAGTCATTGAATAATGTAATGCCAGACTAATCTTTGAACCTTGATATAAAACTTAATTCTCGCCTCTTCACCCCCAATTTCAAAGACTAAGATTTTCTTTTTGTTCTGAAATTTCTCAGTGATGTTACTTGCATGGGTCAGTTTTCACCCATTATGCTAGTCATTTGGTGAGCCCTTTTATTCTGTAAATGTTCTTAATTTATTTCTTGAAGATTTCCTTCCTTCTGTTTTCTCTTTCTGGAGTTCCTATTCTTCTGAAGTTGAACCTTATTTTTTTTCTGTCTTACATTCTCACTTCTTGAACTTTTGTTTTACTTTCTGGGAGATTTCCTCAACTTTATTAAAAGAACTTCTATTTAATTGGCTTTTTTGCATGTTTGTTTAATTTCCAAGAGCTTGTCATTGTTCTTGTTTTCTAACCTTTTTTTAAACATCCTGTTCTTGTTGGATGGGTGCAATACTTCTTCTTACCTCTCTAAATATACTAATAATATAAGGAAATTTACTTCTCCCTGCAAGCCTTCCTCCAACTGGCTTTTTGGCCTTTTTTTTTTTGAGTCTGTCTTTCATATTAAATGATTTCCTCCTATGTCTGTAATCCTTGGCTGTCTGCTCATATTTACAAGCAGCCACTAAAAAGATGATTGGAAGTCTCTGCATACAGATGAGGCCTGACAAGTGTAGGCTTCTCTACAGAGTAATCCAACTTAGCTATATTCTTTGGAAAACCAGAAATTTGGCCCTTCCTTTTTGATTTATCACTTTCCAAGAGAAGCTCATTCAATTTCTTATCTGAATGGTAAAGGCCTGATTGCCAGTATTCTGGGAACAGAGTAAGAGAAAAAGGCTGAGAGTCTCAAATTTTAATAAGTAAATTTTCATTTAACTCTCTTGCTTTCAGAACATTTCTCACTCTCACTGTGCCTGTTATTTCCCAGTTCAGAGACCCTCTCTTTTATCCTCTTTTGAGGCTGAGTGGCCAGTCTTCTACCAGGATGAGGGAAAAGCAAACACTGGAATAAGCAGTCAGGGAGGTGACCTAGGATCTAACTACTTCTGAAAAAGGCTTACAAAGACTCCTCCTGGTTTTAGTTCCACCTTAGTCTCTACTTCCACAGGTATCGGGTGCTGTCAATTACAGATAATTGGGGGCATGGTGATATAAATCAGGTTACTTTTTGACTTATATTATACTAGCTAAGAATTTCTCTTTCTTGGTCTTTGAAAGTCAGTTACTATTGTCCATCTGTTTTCCAGTTTCTGAATTTTCTTTGTGTTGTTCCTTTTAACCTGTTCTCTTTGTCCTTGTGTGTATATGCCCTTTAAAAATCACTTTACCTCCTTTTTAATGGGGTTTCAAATTGTGATCCTCAAACCAATACCAGTCCACAGAGAGTGTGCAACCAGTCCATGATGAGAGAAGGAACTTGTGCCAGAATATAAACTGAGTCAGTAAAGGTACTGTTTAGTTTAACTGACTTTTGCTTTTAATACTGGAAGCAGTCCATTGATTTATATTCTGGGGCAAGCTCCCTATGTCATCATGGACAAGTGAAAGTCCAGTTTGGTGCATGTATTAATACCAGTATTGAGCTTTCCTCCCTTCCTCTAACAATATTTATCTTATCTACACTGCACCCTCTGATGGCCCAGCTTCCAGCTCTCTGAAGTCATTTTCATGGTTATAGGCAATAGGCCAGCAGAAATTACAGCAACAGAACGGATCAGGCTGGATTTTCAGAAGCTAAAGAATTTTCTAATATTCTCTCTAGCTTGAGTTGAAGGTGGAAGGAAGAGAGGTGACAAGCACATCTTAGATTCTTAAAGGTTTCTTTCCCTACTTCTAAAATGTAATCTATTAATTCAACTAGAACATTAAAATCATATAACTTGTTAGTTTATAAATATTACTCTTCCACAAGTTGAACAAACAATTTTGTTCAAACACTGGATCTTTGATATAGTGCCTTGTCAGTATTACAAGCACCATTTAAGGCATTAAATTGTTTTTAAAAGCATATAAGTACAGCAGTAAATGAACTCTCTTAATTAGACTGTCTGTTTTCTAAGTTTCTAAATATCCAAGCTTCATCTTCAACCAAATATCATTAGAATTTTCTTCTAGAACTGGAGGAACTGCAGGACTATTCATATGCCATTCACATATAGCGCTCTATTCCAAACAGAATTCACTACTGCTGCTAGTCTTTTGTTTGTAGTTTGTACTTTCCAGTGGCTTCTGTTAGTTTGTTGATTTGTTCCTGCATGCCTAAGAAATGTGGTGGAAAATGATAATACAATTAAGAGTAGAAATGAAAATAGGAATGAAGATGAAGTGGAGGGGGGGAAGTCCTGGAAATCCCATTCTTGTTAAGCAAATAGCAGGTGATGCTTAAGAGTTTAATGCTGTGCCACATAGTCACAGCTATGAGAGATAGATCTGGAGTGAATTACTTGATCTCTCTAAGCTTCAGTTTTCTTATCAATAAAATAGGGATCATAATAGTACCTAACTCTTAGATCGCTGACAGGGTTAAATAAGATAACCACATAAGATATATAGCAAAATTCCAGTCTCGTAATTAGTGCTCTGTAAAAGCATTTGATAAAGGTACATACAGACTTTCAAGAACGAAATTACAGTAAAGACAACTGTCACAGTATGAATCAATTTACAAGACTTTTCATACATTTTGAAATGCTAGAACTTCAGAATTACAAAATCACTGGAAAATTGACATAAAGGGGAAAAAACTCTACCTAAATTAAACTTCACAGCATTTAAGGAAATCTTTATCAAAACACAAGCTGATCCCAAGCTTAAGGAACAGACACTTCAGAGGACATACACAACAAAGAATAAGTTTTTAAAAATAGTTTTGAAAAGCCACTAAATAAAGCACAGAAAGGAATAGCAACAAACTCTGAGAAGTTTCCTCAGAAGAATCTGATTACCAAAGTCACCACATTATAATATTCAAAATGTCTAGTTTACAACAAAAAATTAAGGGGACATGCAGAGAAACAAGAAAGCATGACCCATTCAAGACGAAAAAAAGAAGCTAACAGAAACTGTCATTGGAGAGACACTGGACTTACTAGACAATGACTTTACATCAACAGACTTAAATGTGCTCAAAGAAATAAAGAAAATCATAGACTAAGAACTAAAAGAAACCAAAAGAACAATGTCTGAACAAAAGGACACTATCAATAAATATAGAGAAACTATGAAAAGGAATCAAATAGAAATTCTGGAGCTGAAAGTACAATCACTTTAATGAAAAATTCACTATAGGGTCATACGTCTTATAAGGGACTTGTATCCAAATGTATAAAGAACTCTTACAATTCAATCATAAAAAGACACATAACCCAATTAAATTGGGCAAAGGATCTGAATAAATACTTCTCCAAGGAAGATATATAAATGGCTAACAAGCACCTGTAAAGATGTTCAGCATCACTGGTCCTTAGGGAAAGGCACATCAAAACCACAATGAAATGCCAATTCATACACACCAGGATGACTAATGTTTAAAAAATGGAAAATACTGACAAGAATGTGAAGAAACTGGAACTCTTGTACATTGCTGGTTGGAATATAAAATGGTGAAACTGCTGTGGAAAACAGTTTGGTGGGTCTACAAAAAGTTAACCATAGAATTAGCATGTCCCAACAATGTCACTCCTAGGTATATACTCAAAAGAACTGAAAACAGGTATTCAAACAAATGGTTGTACACAAGCGTTCATAACGGCACTATTTGCAATAGGCAAAAGGTAGAAACAACCCAAGTGTCTGTTAACATATTAATGAATAAATAAAATGTGGCATATCCATATAATGGATTATTATATTATTTTCAGCCATAAAAAGAAATACTGATACATGATACAACATGAAAGGACCATGAAAACATGCTAAGTGACAGAAGTCAGACACAAAGGTCACATATTGTATGATTCTGTTTATGTGAAAAACCTAGTAGAGATAAACCCACAGAGACAGACAGCAGAATAGTGGTTGCCAGAGGGTGTTGGGAATGGGGAGTGACTTCTTAATGCTCACAAGGTCTCCTTTCAAGGTATGAAAATGTCTTAGAACTAGACAGAGGTGATGGTTGCATAACACTGTGAATGTACTAAATGTTACTAGAGTGCATGCTTTAAAACGGTTAATTTTAAAGAGGGGAGGGTCTAGCTCAGTGGTAGAGTGCATGCCTAGCATGCACAAGGTCCTGGGTTCAATCTGCCATTATAAATCAATCAATCAATCATAATTACCTCCCTCACCAAAATAAAATTAAAAATTTTAAAAATGATTAATTTTGTTATGTGACTTTCATTTCCATTTTTTAAAAAAATTAAAGAGGCCTCTCTCTGCAAGTTACTTTCAGCCTCCCAAACCAAAACATCTATTCATGTGTGCTTTTCTTTATTTTTAAAAGAGAAATCAGAAATTCCTGTTCTGCAAAATAGAAAGTGTTTTATCTTACAGTAAAATAAATGGTTCACTTTTAGAAGTAACAGTGTCATTTGGAGCATTTTACACCCCTATTTTTATAAGAAGCATAAATAGGATTTTGTGTTGGGCATTTGATCTGTGGGTCAAAAAATGAACCTAAGCTAGAGACCAGTCAGGCCCAAAAGCCAGAGTTTCTTCTTTCCTTTTCCAGGCCTTCTACATCTTCAACATTCAAGACTGCTCTATTCAGGGGTTTTAAAGAGTAAGGATGATTTGGAAGAAATGAAGAGGTCCTTTATCACCAAGATTTGATTATTTCCATGGCTACTGTAGGCAGTGGAGTACATATATCACATGTATTAGAAATATTTCCTCTTGACTTGAAATTTAAATGTATTTTAATATTCCTGTTTGTAAGTATTCTGGCTAAATGATGTTTTCTTGTGCACTGCAGTCCTCGTAAGAGTGGAACCATTTTGATGCCTATAAGCTTCCTGAGAACAAGAGTATAACTTACTACCTTCTCAAGAAGGTGTGGTAAGTGAGAGAGAATTCAAGTCCTGGCTTGATTGCTTGTTAGCTGGATGACCTTTAATATCAACTCACTTACCCTCACAGCCTCAGTTTCCTCAATTGTGAAATGGAGATGATAACCTGACAGAGTTGATGTGAGAAGTTAATATAACATATGCCAAAGGACTGTACAGATGTCAGTAATTTGTATCACTGATTCCAGTGCTTTACACACAGTAGGTGTTAAGTTAATGTTTGCCTAATTGAATTGTGTAATGATCTTGTGGATATAAGACTAATCTTACGTTGCATTGATTGAATTAAATCAGGCTCCTTCTCTAGGAAATTATATCTCAGGGAACAAACTGAATCCTTGATATACTAGAATTTTATATTAAAATAGAGGTATGTTGTATTTACTGCAAATGCTACAAATGAAATATGCTAATGAGGAGATAGTTAATTGTTCCTTTTACAGAAGACAAATGAATTCTCTTCCACTATTTGAATTCCCTTAGTAAGTTACGTCTTTCAGTGTTTGCAGCATTCCCTGAAAATGCGGGAAAGTTAATGCATCTCAACAGGTGAGCAGCTTCTTTCTTTTCCCTGACAGGAATATTAATCGCTATTATTATCAGCTCAGTAAGTCTTTGACTTCCTAGACAGTGTGTGCTGCTGGCTTTGGGGAGGAAAATGTATGTTGGGGGCAGAATGTTAGTGCTGAGAAATCAATCAGGATTATCCACTGCTTTATCATCTAATAAAGAAACCCAATGCCTGCCTAATAAAGAAAATCAGGGAAGGTATAATTTCAGGATCTCAGAAAAGGCAGCCATGGTACCTAAAATGTCTACCAGTAGAATTATTCCTTCAGGTTTAACAGAGTCTTTAGAAAGGTCCTACTAAAACGTAGATGTTGTCAAATACTACATTCACACAGATATCCTTAAAAATTGGTTCATGACTATGGTCAATTCCAAGGGAAAAGAATCCTGGATCACACAGAAGAAGGAAAAAGAAAGAAGGTTCTAGCTTTGAGGAAGCCAGGAAGAGATACATTGCTTGGGTGCCTGAGATGTCACGAGAGTCTTGGGTATCCCAGGGAGCCTAGATGAATGGAAAATAAGGCAAGGACATATCCTATGCTTCGTCAACCAGGACTTGGTATGTAATCCATTTAAAACACACTCAGTTTGCAGTTATGAGATAACGGGGGTAAAAACAGAGATACAAAAAGTATTTCTAACTCAAGAAATATTTATCAAGCATCTATTAAGTAGAGACTAGTATCAAGCAATGGAGTATGTGACCTTCACCCTACAGGACCATTTGACTCTTAAAGAATCTCTTCTCCCCACCTTTTCCCTGCTACTATCCCTTCTCTGAACAAGAAATGCACTCAACAAGAACTTCACTTCCTGTTCCTTTATGCCTACTTCTGTCTCTGTTAAGAAATCACTAATAAGTTAGAAATGGTCAGAAGTTTATCAGAAGGTATCAATAAAAGTTGTACAGATAGATAAATAGGTAGAAAAAATTTACAAATCAGATTATCACAAGTGGATAATTAACCTCCTATAGAGAGGAGTTTGAACAATAGCTATTAAATAATAATTAAATACTGCATTAAATAATTAAATAATTAAATTGGTATTCTGCAACAGGCTTCCAAAATCAAGTTAGGCAGGAGAAGAGGGAAGTGTTTTAACCACGAAGGATGAAGTACAAAGGAATATTATTCATTTCTGCTTTAAAATCATTTGCTTTCTCCACCTTAGAACAGAACAGATCCCTCCCCACTTAAAATATATCTGTGGGGGGAGGGTATAGCTCAGTGGTAGAGCACATGCTTAGCATGCACGAAGTCCTGGGTTCAGTCCCCAGTACCTCTAAATGAATGAATGAATGAATGAACAAATAAATAAATAAATAAACAGATAAATACCTAATTACCTCCCCCCTCAATATATATCTGAGAAGGCCATAATACTAGGAATGGAAGAATTCCTGACTAGAAAGAAAAATTATTTTCTAGCTTTCAATTTCATGTTAATGTGGCTGACAAATGTAATATAAGCTTGGGACTTTTAAAAATTATGTTGTGTTTTGGAATTGTAAACATCTTTAGCAAAAGGAGTAGAAATAAGGGCAAATGAACCTCCAGTGAATACCAAGCACGCAGTTCAGAATGAGATCAGCTGTTGGCACAGATGTGAGGAAACATAACTTTCAGTCTTCAGGGCTTCTCCCAGCAGGTGTATTTGCTTGGTTTTATACAGTACATCAATAGTGGAATCTAGAGATACAGTTGTTAGTCTATCATGGCCTTCCTCTAAACTTTATTATATACTTTCCCATACTAGTTTATGTAAATATATTCATAAAACCTAGGAAAATCCTTCCTTTCTAATAGAAATCAAAGTGTCATTTATTCTCACGATACCTCAAAGTTAGAGTATTCAGAATACATTTAATATTTCAAGCCTGGTAACAATCAGACTTCTCTCTTTCATATATTCAAGCATTCATTCCTTCAACACACAAAGCCATTCTCAGGTTGGTTATAAGCATAGGTCAACTTGTTTCAAAAGAAGACGCTTCCTTAACCCAATTCAAAGTTTCTATCTTGGCAGAAACATCTTCTAGGGGGAAAATGGTTAAGATAGGTATTATTAAACTGGATTTTAAAAAAGGAGATGACTATCTAGTTAAAGACAATTAGCCTCTTTACATTATTGGTTAAAGTCTTAGACTAGTTTCAAGGCTAACAGTTAATTGAGTGGGTTTCCTAGGACGGGTTTTTAAGCAAACTAAAGTCCCACAAATTTCTTTTTAATCATGAAGGAAAAAATAGTAACATTATAATAGAGAAACCTGGTGGCCTCCAACTTAACTAAATGATCCAAAATCACCAATACTATGACAAACTGGTGTCATGTGCTCCTGATGCAAAGCACTGAAAAAGACACAACATCACTTCTGTAAAATTTCTACTGAAAATGCATAATTTGTATGTAATTATGAGGAAAGATCAAACACAATCTGACATTCTATAAAATTCTATAAAATAGAATAGAGGGACGTTCTGTAAAATAACTGGACTGTAGTCTTCAAAAATATCCAAGTTAAGGGTGACCTCCCCCCCAAAAATTAACTGTTCTAAATTAAGGGAAACTTCAGAGACATGAAACCTAAATTAAATATCAACTGAATCCTGAAACAGGAAAAATAAGTGGCGGACAACTGACAAAGTTTGAGTATGAACTGGGGATAATACAGTAACATTATATCAATTTCTTAAATTTCCTGATTTTAAGAACTATACTTTGGTCATATAAGAAAATGTCATTTTTCTTAGGAATAAACTCTAATTTATTTAGGAGTAAAGGGCCACAATGTCCCCAACTTGCATATGGTTCAGAAAAATGTGGATATGTACACAAATATCTATACAGAGAAAATGAAAAAGCAAAGGGGGCAAGATATAAACAACTGGTGAATCTGGGTAAAGGTTATATGGCAGATCCCTGAATTACCTTGAGACATATCTATCTAACTGTTTGAAATTCTGTCAAAATAAAAAGTTGTCTACCACATTAATTAATTAACCAATTAAAAACAGGAGTTTGGGGCTGGACAGGGCATTCCAACCAGAGGATAAACCTAGTAAAGTTAGGAAACTAAAAATTTGTATAACTGGAACACAGTGTGATCATTCAGGATTCCAGCAGAAAATAAGAATTGAATTGAACTGAAAAGACTAAAGAAAAGATTAATAAATGGATGATTTACAAAGGTATGGGAAGCTCCTTTACCATTCCAGGCCCAAAACTTGAAGACAGAGAGAGCTTGGTGAAAAGGGCCTGCTAACAGGAGCTGAGAGTTATAGTTAGAGCCAGGCTGACAACTCCAAAGGAAGGTAGCTGGGGAATAAACACTTCCCTCCATTCTTCAACCCCCTGCCTATGTTGCCCATTTGCTAAACCCAATTAGAAGCCTGAGGTCAAGGGAACCTGCTGTACAGTACATACAGGTCAGCTTCCAAGGGGCAAATAGGAGTAAAGAAGGACAGAGAATGAACCTGGAGGTGCAAACAGGATACCCAGAAGGCAAATGGATGAGATGGGGGTGGTGGGTGAGAGAGGCGAGTAAGAGAGACAAAAATGAGAACAAGAGAGGGAATGAGAATGACCATGATGTTGCATAGATATTAAGATGAGGACTTCAATATTAGATAACATGTTGAGTTTTAATTGCCTGTAAGGCAGCCAAATGGAAGTGCCTAGCAGGCAGCCGCATACCCAGAACTTTAAGCTTGGGAACTAGATCTTTGTTTATGGAGGAGATTGCCCAAGCAACACAAAGAGAGTGATAATTAAAGAGAAGAGGGAAACCCAAGCTAAGAGATATGAGTAGTCAACACTTAACATTTTTTCACCATTCATTTACTTTTCATCCTGTGCATCCATTTTTCCCTTCATCACTCTGCTGGAAGTGCACTTAATAAGGCTGCCAAACCCAACAGCCTCTTCAGTCCTTATCTTTTTCATCCTCTTCTGTAGCATTACTTATTAAGCACTTTTGCCTTCAAATATCTCTCACTGCATTTTTTTTTAAATACCACTTCTTTTCTGTCTTCCCTTCTCTGCCTCACTGGCCCTCTCTCCTTGTTTTCTGGACATTCTCCCTCTGTCTTCCATTTCTGCAACCACTCTACCCCTACTGTTGATATTCCCCATTGCTCTACCCCTTAGCCCTCATCAAGAACCATGGAGGCCAGTATGCAGAGGAAGACATATCTAAAGCACAAATACACACACACACACAACTTGTAAATCAAACTCTATATCCAGCAAAACTATCCTCCAAGAATGAGGAGAAATGAAAATATTCTCAAATAAATAAAAACCAAGAGAAGTCAAAGCTAGTAGTCACACAGGAAATGCTAGAGGGTATCCCTCAGGCTGAAATGAAATGACAATAGACAGAGAAGAAATCATAAGGGAAATTAGAAAATGTTTAAGACAAATGTAATATAGGACAAAATATCCCAAAACTCATGAAATGCAGCTAAAGCAGTACTTACTAGGAAATCTATAGCTGCAAAATGCCTATATTAAAAAGAAAGATCTCTAATCAATAGTCTGTATGTCCCCCTTAAGAAACTAGGGAGAAAAAGTAAACTAAACCCAAAGCTAGCATAAGAAAGGAAATAACAGATATTAAAGCAGATATAAAGGAATTAGAGAATGAAAAAACAATAATAAAATCAATAAAACTAAAACTTGGTTCTTTAAGAAAATCAACAAAATTAGCCAACTTTTAGCTAGACTGACCAAGAAAAAAGAAAGATTCAAATTACTAAAACTGGAAATGAAAGAGGAGGGTATTACTACAGAGCTTACAGAAATAAAAAAGAATCATAAGAAAAAATATCAGCAATTGTTTCTAACAAATTAGATAACTGAAATGAAATGAAGAAATTCCTAGAAATACTATAGTAACTGACTGAAGAAGAAATAGAAAATCTGAATAAGCCTATAACAAGGGATTGAATTAGTGATTTTAAAACTTCACACAAAGAAAAGCCCAGGACTAGATGGCTTTACTGCTAAATTGTATTGAAACTTTTAAAAAGAATTACAACCAATCCTTCACAAACTCTTCAAAAAAAATACAAAAGAAAGCAACACTTTCTAACTTATTCTGAGGCCAACATCACACTGATACCAAAACCAGAAAAAGAAATCATAAGAAAACTGCAGACCAATATCCCTTAGAATATAGATGTAATTTCCTCAACAATATTTATTAAACTGAATCTAGCAATATATAGTAACAATTATACACTATATCCAGTTGGGATTTATCCCAGAAATGCAAAGTTGTTTCAACATACAAAAATCAATCGATGTCATACACCATATTAATAAAGGACAAAAACTACACGATCATTTCAATAAATTTAGAAAAAGCACTCAACAAGATTCAGTAGCCTTTCACAATAAAAATACTCAAACACTAGTAGAAAGGAACTTCTTCAACCTGATAAAGAACATTCATGAAAAACCCACAACTAACATCATACCTAATCAACATACTTTTACTTTAATCGTAGAAGATTGAAAGGTTCTGCTCTCACCATTTCTATTCAACGTTGTACTGGAGATTGTAGCCCAGGAATTTAGGCAGGAAAAATAAATAAAAGGCATACAAATTAGAAAAGAAGGAGCAAAATTATCTGCAGATGACATGACCTTATATATACAAAAAATCGTACAGAATCCACAAATAAACCTCAGGGCCAATAAACAGATTCAACAATGTTGTATGATAAATATACAAAACAGATATAAAATATGCAAGAAAAATATACAATTGCCCATATTTCTATATCCTAGCATTGAATAATCCATAAACGAAGTTGAGGAGGCAATTCCATTTACATCAGCATCAAGGGAATAAAATACTGGAGTCAATTCAATTAAAGAAGTGTAAGACTTGGACACTAAACAACAAAACATTGTTGAAGAAAATTAAAGAAGACTTAAGTGAAAAGATATTCTATGTTCTTTGGTTGGAAAACTTAATATTGCTAAACGGCAATACTCCTCACACTGATCTACAGATTCAATGCAATCTCTATTAAAAATCCACAGGTCTTTTTTTTCTTGGCAGGAACTGACAAGTTGATCCTTAAATTCATATGGAAATGCAAGGGACTCAGAATAGCCAAAACAATTTTGAAAAAGAAGAACCAAGTTGGAAGACTCACACTCTCAATTTCAAAACTTTCTACAAAGATATATACAGTAATCAAAACTGTGTGGAAGTGGCTTAAGGACAAACATGAAGATAACTTATTTTGAACAAAGGTGCCAGTACAATTCAATGAAGAAAGAATAGACTTTCCAGCATGATGTAGTGGGACAACTGGATATTCACACTGAAATATCAATAATAATTAATTTGGACCTCTGTTTTACACCATACATGAAAAATAACTGAAAATGGACCAAAGACCTAAAATGGAAGAGTTAAAACTACAAACTCTTAGAAGAAAACATAGCTGTAAATTTTCGTGCCCTTTTAGGCAATAATTCCTTAAATATGATACCAAGAGCACAAGCAACCAAAGAAAATAGATTAAATTCATCACAATTTTAAAATTTGTGCTTCAAAAGATACAACCAGTAAAGCGAAAAGACAACCCACAGAATAAAGAAAATATTTGTAAATCATACATCTGATGACTCTCTAGTATTTCAAAAATATAAAGAACTCTTACAACTCAACAATAAAAAGAAAGCACATGGGCTTGAATTGACACAAAGGATCTGAATAGATATTTCTCTAAAGACATACGAGCCAACGAGCACTTGAAAAGATGTTCAGCATAATTAGTCACTATAGAAATGCAAATCAAAACCACAATGAGATACCATTTAACACCCACCATGATAGCTATTATCAAAAAAAAAAAAAGGTCAATAACAAGTGTTGGTGAGGATTTGGAGAAATTGGAACTCTCATACATTGCTGTTGGGAATGGAGAATACTGCAGCCACTGTGAAAAATAATTCCTCAACATATTAAACGTGGACTTACCATATGATCCAGCAATTCCACTTCTAGGTATATACCCATGAGAAATAAACACATGTTCACACACACAAAAAAACTTGTACACAATTGTTCAGAGTAGCATTATCATAACTGCCAAAAAGTAGGAACAACCCATACATCCATCTTCTGATGAATGGATAAATAAAATGTGGTATATCTATACAATGGAATATTATTTGGCCCAAAAAGGAAGGAAGTACTGATTCAGGCTACAACATGGATAAACCTTGAAAACGATATACTAAACAAAAGAAAGCAACATATTACGATTCTATTTATATGAAGTATCAGAAGAGGCAATTCCATAGACACAGAAGGTAAATTAGTGTTTTCCAGGGTCTGGAGGGAGGAGGGAATAAGGAGTGCCTGCTAATGAGTATGGGGTTTACTTTTGAGGTGCTAAAAGTGTTCTGGAATTAGATCGTGGGAATGATTACACAAATACAAGATTATACGGGAGTTGGGGTATAGCTCAAGTGGTAGAGTGCACGCTCAGCTTGCATGAGGTCCTGGGTTCAATTCCCAGTACCTCCATTAAATAAATAATTAAATAAAAATAAACAAATAGACCTAATTACCTCCCCCACCCACCCAAAATACATATATACACTAAAACCCACAGAACTGCACACTTTAAAAGGGTGAATTTTATGGAATGTGAATTATATCTCTAAAAAAAGAAGGCAGATCACCTACACCCCCAAACATAAGTCTTCATTCGTGGAGACCACTGCTGTTTCTTGGCTACCATTTCTGAAGTAGACTGTATACATACAAACATGTATTTGTGTGTCTACAGGTCCCTTGTTAGAAACAGAAATATGAGCACAGCAGATACATTGTCCCAGACTTTTTTCCCTTCTTCACAATAGAACTTCAAGATCATTCCTCTTTACACTGTAACTTGGTAATTATTTCATTTCAGCGTTTGTAAGTATCCCTCACTCCTTTTTATTTCTGGATATGCTATAATTTAGTTTGATAGTCTTTTGCTGCTACAAATAATGTTGCAATTAATTTCCTTATATATGTTTCCATTGCATGCATATGAGTGGGATACTTTCTAGATGTAAATTTCTGGTTGAAATTGTGTTCTTATTTTAATTTGACAGACTGCCATTATTGACTTAACATCTCTCTCTCACTACATTATGCATTCCCTTAGGACAAGGATCATTTCCAGTTTTTTTTCTTCAAAATATGTTCATTTATTGCTGTATACTATTTCATTATACAAAAATATCATATCCTTATCCATTGTACTTTTTAAAATTAAAGTATAGCTGACTTACAATATTATATTCAAGTGCACAACATAGTGATTTGACATTTATATACATTACATATTAATCACCACATATGTCTAGTAACTATCCGTCACCATATAGTTATTACAATATTATTGACTCTATTCCCTATGCTGTACATTGTCCCTGTGACTTACTTATCTTATAAATGGAGGTTTGTACTCCTTAATTCCCTTCACCCATTTTGCTTCCCCCCCATTCCTCCCCTCTAGCAACCACCAGTATTTATCTCAGTATTTATAGGTCTGTTTTATTTATTCTTTTTTGTTTTTAGATTCCACATATAAGTGAAATCATATTGTATTTGTCTTTCTGTTTATGACATTTCACTTAGTGTAGTATCTTTGGGGTCCATCCTTGTCGC